TTGGTGGAGTGCTTTATCGTGTCCTTTCGAGTGGTGCTCATGAGACGAGGGCGTTCGGCTGCTACCTTGATGAAGATGTGGTGTCCACATGGGCTGGAGCTGGCAAGCGACACCTTATCGGACCCACCGAACTTTACGCTGTGGTTGCTGCTCGTGGGGTGTGGAAGAGATTCTTGGATAACGAGCGGGCCATCTTTTTCGTTGATCATAGTGGAGTCTTGTCGGCGATGATAAAGGGATCATCGCGCGACGATGTTTGGCGCAGCCTTCTTCTCCACTACGAGCGCTTCGATGCGGAAGGCCCGGCGATTCCGTGGTTCGCTCGAGTACCGAGCAAATCAAATCCAAGTGACGGCCCATCGAGATCAGAATGGAGGTTTCCTGTCTTCGGATCGTTTCATCAAGATGCTCTTCGTTGCTTCATTAGTGGCAGAGCTTTGCTACAGACGGGGCAGAGATGAAGTGGGGCGAAGTGCCCGTCTTGTGCCCGAAGGGGCGAGTTGACCGAAGGGTCAAAAGGATTGGGTCCTGTAGGGACCCGTGCTTCGTCTTTTACCCCGAGAGGCTTTGCCACTTCAGAAGAAAAAGAGCGATCCGTTGCGTATGTAAGTTCCCACGATTTCGCATGAGGCACTTCCTAAGCTCCCTAGCAGGCCCCATTTTGTTTATACTTACATATATGTTCGAAGAGGTGGAAGATACCTTTCAACGAGGATTACGATGATTGGAACATGAAGCCTTTTGGTTATAATTTGTTGTTAATTGATTTCTTTCGTGTGGCTTTCTCTTTGTTGCGCGGAAAGAAAACGTTTTTTTGTTCTTTTTTTCCATTGTGTGTGGCCTTCTCTTTCTCGTGTGGAAGCAAAACGTTTTGCTTGTTTTCAAGCCAGAAAGCGTTATCGTGTGGCGTGGCTTTCTCCTTTCACTTTTGTTTTCGTTCTTTTATTCTTGTTTCGCTTTTTCAGACCAAAAGATTCGTCTAGACGTCTGGTTCAGTTTTTTGTGTTTGTTTTTTGTTTTTCAGCCTCCAAAAGCGTTTTCGTGTGGCTTTTTTGTGTGCTGATAAGTCTTTGCTTAGAAAGACGTGTTGGAGGGACGCAGCTCCAAGTGTTGCCTTTGCCTTCGAAGACTCATCCTCTCCGTGGAGCCTTGGTCCTCATCCCCTTTGAAGCCTTCGAAGCCCCCCCCAATCCAAAGCCCCGTTTGTCCTCACCTTCGAAGCCTTCGAACCGTTCGTTTTCACCTTCCAAAAAGCACTGCGCCCCTTCATCCACCCCTCGAAGCCTTCGATCACCTTCGAAGCCTTCCAAGCCTTGCCCCCCTTCATTCTCCCCTTCGTCCCCTTCGAAGCCTTCGAAGCCCCCCCCTTCGAAAGCTTCGAAGGCTTCGAAGGCTTCGACCTCTTCGGTGACGGGTCCTCGAATGCAGCCCCTCGAGCCCAGAGAAACCCCCTAGTTCGTGGGAAGCATCTGTGCAGTGCACGGACGTCAGGTCTCGGGCACCCACTGACCTAGGCGGTCAGGACAACTCTGTCACGCATGAACTCCAAACGCATTTCTAAGATCAACTGTCGACAGTTCCATGCTTGTTGGACCTGACCATCGCCAATTGTTTTCGTGTGCCTGTAGCAAGCGCGGCCAAAATCTGCCCTTCTGCAAACAACAACCTGCTCCCAAGGAAGTGATCACACTGGCAGAGAAGAATCCCCTCTCCAGAACCACAACTCAGGATTCAGCCCAGGGTGCAGAGGCAGTGCATCGTCAGCGCCGATGTGGCACAACGAAGCTCCGAACAGAACTTCATGCCCTGGCGCCTCTATTCCGACTTCAGCCTTCACCGTCAGAGGAAAAGGAGGCGTTTCACCTTCAGAAGCAAGTTGTATTTTGTCGGTCATGCCCATGAAGTCCGGTTTGGTGGTGTTCGCACTTCAGCTGAACCGTCCACTGCGTGAACACGACACAGATTTTGAGGCTCTTCGCAAGACTTCGAGGATGAGTCTTGGTCTTGGCTTGAAATGCATCATCGCAGGATCCTGCGTGGAGTTCACACGTCCAAGCTTGAGACATGTCCTTTATGCAAAACTGCCTAACGTGAGCTTGCGCGCCTAGACTGTGCTGATGGGTTTGGGCTTGTTGTTGGTATTTGGGTTACATTGGTTGTTTCATTCATTCTTTCACTGATCGCGTGCGCTTCTGCCCTGGGCCCAAGTTTGCAGTTCGCCGGTAGACCTTGGATACATGTTGCAAGATTTGTATGGGGGCAAGCAATAATAGTCTTCCGAACCAGAAGCAATAGCATGTTACTCGCAATGCGATGTTCGTTTCAATCCCAGCTTTGTCAAACATTTCTGGTGGCACATGAGCGACGGACCTTTACCAGCACCACCTCGCCTCATCGCGAGCTTAGCAGTCCGGGGCATATTGGCACAGCCCAAACCTTGTTGATGTTTTCAGTGGGTGGGAGTTTTGCATGGTGATGTTTTGTTTCGATTTTGCGCCCGGGGATGTCCAGTTACGCGTCGTTTGACACGGTTTGTTGAAGGGATGTTGGTGTTTTGGTTAGTTTGCGGTGCCTAATATGTTCAAAGCGTGTCACATGCCAAAACACTAAGGTGCACTCACAGCGGGTCTTTCGCCTGAGCTGCGTGTTCTTCCTCCTTTGTGCGGTTGGCAGTCTCGTGTCAGGCTCAGGCTGACAGACCCTTTTGACCGTCATAGTCAGAAATTTCGGAGAAGCTGCAAGGTTTTGTTTTGGCCGATTCTCATCAAGGAGGATTTCGAGGCCATTGCGCAATCGTCATGGTGCATGTGTGACACGGAGATACTTTCGCAGAGTGTACATCGCTGGTAGGCCTATCTTCAATGTGACGGGCCTCAACATGGCAGGCAACTGTGTGGAGAGCCTTTGAGCGAGCTTTGAAGAATGCACGAGTTACGGGCCGTGGACCACAGCACCTTGCAGGCTTCACATGTTGAGGGAGCTGAGGAAAGTCCAGGCTTGACCCACTCCGCACTGTTGTGGGTTGAAGTGCTGCTGCAAGCTTGCCTTATGTTTGCCCTTTTGCAGAGAAGTCTTGGGCTTCGGCATGCAGGGTTTGGAAAGGGAGGTTTGCCGAAAGAGTTCTGCCGCCGCTGCTCATGTGGCCGAGCTACACAGATGCGGACTCGTAAAGGGGGTTTCTGTTCTGGCAGCGAAAGAAGTTGTTCAGACAGGTAGCTTGATGTAGCTTGCACTGCAGCACAGTAGAGCATTAGAGCATATTACTGCATGGTGCTTTCAAGCTTTGGTCCGATGGCGACGGCTTCGAGCCCCCAGCCCTTCTGCGAGTCGGGGCCCTCGCATGAGCTTATGCTGCGTGCATGCTTGATGCTTGGATTCTGCTTGCATCAATAACTCTGTCCATCCCCTTACCGAATGTTCACGGTTTCCCTGGTACAAAAGCCCTTTGTTTGAGTGCTTGTGATGGGAAACATTTGGGTTCTTGCCATCGCCGAGCATTTTCGACGCCGTCCGAGTCCAAGTCAAGATCAACCAGGTAGTCTTGGGAGGGTGCCCTCTTGTTTTGCGGAGCTGAGTGCGATGTTTTCCGCTCAGAAATGGGCCGAAATGCCAGGGGCTGAGTCCTCGTTGGAAGCGTGGGATGTGAAAACCACGGGAGCTGAGGAGAGAGATGCAGAGGAACTATGCACCGGACCTTCAGGCGACTGCACTCGCTAGGCCCTATGCTTCATCCCACAAACGGCTAGTCGCGACTTCAGGAGTCGACGGAGACGGGAGGCCGCACGCAGCGAGTTGCTGTCCCGACCTTATGGCAGAGTGCAAAGAGACGCGGTTTTAATGCCTAAAAGCGGAGTGAAAGCGAAAGTGGAGCGAGTCAGATCGGTCTCCTCGGCTTTGCCCTTTTCGTTGTCATCGTCGCCCTCTACGGGTCGCAACCGGTCTGGGTCCGAGGCTTTGGCAACCTTTGAAGGGGGCCTTCCGATGCACGTTGTTGCTTCTAATTGGGGTCGTATTTGTTTTAGGGTTTTTGTTTTTTTCCGGTATTTTTTT